CACATGCCACTCCACAATCTGCATTATAAACGTGTATTATGCACAATTTAATTAACTGGATATATGACATCGTAACTAACAAATTTCATCAGTATATACAATATGAACTCAGGTTTTCTTACAGACTTGATGTCACTTGACCAAATGATCATGATTATAGATTTACAGAATATGGTGAATTAGCTAGAGAATTGAAGATGTCAACGCGTGACATACCTAAAGTTGGGGGCTTGGGGCTCGGTGCTCCATTGACGCCCATCTGAAAATAGTTACTACAAACTTTTCAGTTCATATTTTACTTAAATCATTGAAGAAAAATTGAATACACTACTTGAAAGTTGAAAGAAACGTATGAAACATATGTGTAGGTCTATTACCGTCTCGTACTGGTGATCAGTGGCTTCAGTGAAACATTGAAGAAGCATAAAAGAGACAAGCATGGAAGCCATGAGCGTTCTTGATGACAAAGCCATCTTGATTATATATGGAAGAAGAGGAAGAAGTATCTTAGTTTGGCTTGTATGTCGTGAAATGAGAGTGAGATATTAGTGCGTGTATTTATAGAGAGAGACTGGTGGTATCGATGGTGCATGGAGGGCAGTAGGGCTGATGCAATGCAAGGAATGAGATCCTTTCCGGATCCTCTTTGTGAGGATCTTAGGGATTCTCAAATCGTATCTGTTCATCGTACATCGTACGGTCAAAAATCATTTTAAATACTTTTATTTTAGATTAAATATAAATAATATCTGACGAAAACTAACCGCACAATATACAATGAACGAACACAATTTAAAGATTTCCAAACTCCTCGTAAAGAGAATCAGGAAATGATCATCCGGCAATGCAAGTGCTGCTTACCTGTCCAATAATATTGGACCTACTATTTAATTATAATAGTCGTCATTTTCAGATGGTCTCCGCGAAAGTCACACTGCCAGACTGCTCACAACTCATCACCCTTTACCAATGTTTTCTTCTTTTGTTTTGCTTGGTTTCTGTTTAACATTAAATATTTTTGCTTAACATTTGGACCAAGAATTTATGGCTAAATAGATTAGAATGGATGGAGGTGCCAACGTCGGTGCAAGACGCCCTCTCGAGAATTTATGATTGGTTTGAAAGTATTTTAAAGTGACTGAAAATATTTTTGATGAAAATACTTTTACAATAATTTCTTATTAAAAATCCAATTGGATCATGGAGAAGCACAAATGCTTCCTCCAAAAAGCACATATCTGGTGCTTCTTAAAAAAACCATTTAAAAGTGTTTTTGAAATCTAAAATATTTCACCAAAAGCACTTTCAGTAATTTAAAAACACTTTTAAACAAACTCCTATTTATTTTGAGGTAAGACTTTCATTGTGAATTTTTATTGTTATTTCGTTGTCGATGTTTCTTAAAAACGAAAATTTGAGTCTTATGTAAGTTTTAAGCGGGTGCATTTGGCTACTGCCATTCAAACAACATTAAATTTGAAGTTTAGATTTGCATGGACTCCCTCGATAATAACATGATATATCGACCATGTGGTATATTTTAATCTTAACTTATGAGTTATTACTTCACCTTCTCTTACGACTTAAACTGATCTGCACAAAGGCTTAACAAGAAACTAGTTTATTAAGATTGCTTAATTAATAGGGAAGATTAGGAAGTATCATTAAGTGGACTTACCTAGTTAATTTTGGAGGTGGATTGTCTGCCCTCCCATTTCAATACTCTTCACATCCCCTCGTGTTTTGTGTGGTCACAATTAAGCCACGTTAACATTTTATATTCCTATTACTTTTTGTTTTATTATTTTATAAAAAAATCAATATAAAATGTTGACGTGGCTTAACCGTGACCACACAAACAGGAAGAGATGAGAAGAGTTTAGAAATGGGAGGGCAGACAATCCACCTTCGCTAATTTTACACTCTAACTTATTGTTGAGAGAGATAAATATATTTTTTTCTTTTATGGAAAATAAAAAATTAATTAAAAAGAGAAGCCTCTAATACAACAATTCTCAGTACAATCAAACATAAAAACATTTCTAACAATCCTGGATAAGGTCTCATTCCAAATATAAGTATCATGTATCGAGTGTCTAACACTAGTAATAACATTGGCAAAACACATGCCACAAAGAAATGAAAGAAAAGGAACTGACAAAAGATGTAATGTCGTCAACAATTGTCCTCAGCTACCAATGTGTACTACATTGGTTCAAAATGGCATCAATGATTGCAAATATTAAGAATTTAAGAAAAAAATGTCTGACAGACGAGTGTTGACCAGGTGGCCCTAGCTTGCTAGCTGTTCTACAATCAAACTTTGTTTCCCAAACCCACCCCCGTCGGTGCCAAACGAAAATGAAAGAAAAAACCTACGCTGTATTACTAGCTCTTAAGGCAGTCATGCCTTCCAGTTTGGTGCTCTAGAGAATATCTTTCATAATACGAGTATATATTGTTATCATGCTATTTTTATATTAATTATATAATAATATGTACACATTTTTATTTATATAATATTTTATCGTTAGCATCACACCCTACAATGAGATATACCATTATCATAAGTTGGTCTCTTTTCATTTACTTTACACCTAATTTTTTTTTCTGTTTGATTGGTTCCCCTTCTCAATATCATTTTTCTAAAAGAATAAGGAAAAAAAGAACGTTGCAGTAATAAGTTTTATTAGAAAACAAAACCATCTAAAATTCATCAATCTCGTTCTCCTAGAACACATAGTTCAAGAAAATTATGGTTATTTATCGTTCTATCTTAACCTAATAATGAAGGAGAGAGTATAACAACATCACGAGTTCAATATCCTAGTACATAGGATGTTGAGTTTTTACGCTTGCATCCTTAGTTGAAACTCCCCCACCCTTAAATTATTTTAATAGTTCCAAAGTCTCATCATTCCCTTAATAATAATAAATTAAAAAAAAAGGAAAAAAAAAAAACAAAATTCAAAAGACCACTTATTGTTCGATTAAAATCAAATGGCAGGTGACTAAATTTTTTCGGATCATATAATTAGGAGAACAGAACTTAAATTCATATCTTCCTAGAAGCGTGCTATAACATTGGACTTTGCAATGTTTGTATACTTATGGGCCAGCCAACCATACTTAGTAGGCCTCTTGCGGTGCTCTGGTATGCCTGATGGAGACAGGGATAAGGTTGGAATTCCACAACCCTAGCATTCTCGTTGCATGTAAATTTTATCATTTGTAACACGATGAAAAAAAAATTCCCTTATGAACTTTTGTAATTTTAATCAACTTTCAGTTGGTAAATATTGCAATACTCACATCTCCAAAACAAAAGAAATAGAAGCAGGTACACATTGGTAGCACTTTCCGCAGATTGATGAACCCTACCTTCAATTGGATTTCGTTGAGTTGGTCCTGAATTCCATTTTATTTTAGGTTCCGTTGAGTTAGTTCGGAATCCAAGATTCTTGTGCATAGAGTTACCCAAGTTTACGCTTGTGGTTATAACTTAGGGTTACAATACTAGATAGTTGGATTTCAGTAGCAAAATACGATAAACCTTATAGAGGTTGGCTTTATTAAAAATTAATGAAATGATATTTGATCATGTTGATTGATCAATATAATTAAATTTTAATATTGTTTGGATTCATGGAATTGATTCTTTGTTGTGATTGTGTAATTGTGTTGGAAAACATGTGATAGAATTGAATGACAAAATGACAATCTGGGTTGGCATATAGTTTCATTATGTAGTTTGGAATCTAGTGATTCATGCTACCCAAGTTTCATTGAGTATTCTTTAACTCTATATATTTCTACTTGAAAGTCCTATGAGAAATGTAAGAGTTTGTTAGGTGAACTACGAATGGTTTGATCCATCTTATGGTATGTAGACAGTCTAACACATAGGTTAGGTGTAGCAAAAAAATATAGAAAAACGTTACTACCTTATTGAACCATTGGGTTGTTTTTGGTCATGACTCGTAAGCAAGGCATGATAGTTGAACAGGTACGTGATGACGTCATGTGTCCATTTTGGATGTATCTCGGGATTGGGGCGTGACAATATGTGTAAGCTTGTATTTATATAATACTTTATTATTAGCATCGGAAAACTTCATTCTTGATTCTATGAGAATTTTTATGAAAGCTTTTCAGTTGCTTCTCTTCGATGAAGGTTTTATTTTCCCATAATGTATCCTAATTTTTGGCCTAGTTCTTTATCTAATGGTTGATTCAACTTTTGATAAAAGAGATACACCTTAGTTATATTTCATCTCTTAACAAGTTTAATAATTAGCATAACCACCCTATTAATATTCCGATCCTACAATGAGGTAATACCATTATCTTCATTTACTTTACACCCAATTTTCTATGTTTGATTGGTTCCCCTTTCTAATATCAATTATTCTAAAAGAGTAAGAAGGATTAACAATTTTTATTAGAAAACAAAAACATTTAAGATCATCAGTCTCAGTCTCGTTCTCTTAGCTAGAACATATGGTTCAAGAAAATTGTGATCACCGTTTGTTTAGAAAATTGTGATCACCTTTTGTTTGATTTTAATGATATAACTTACTTAAAATAGAAAGAAAAGCTGCATCATCTAACAACTTAAAATACTCATCAAATCCAACAAAAGGACTTAAAAAATAGTTTTTTTTTTATTAATTACAATATGTTTGTACCATATTTAGAGCCTTCGTATTTAGACCTCGTATAAATACTCGGGGGACTCAAATGTAATTATGTAATAAATAAAGGGGCAAATATGTAATAAGTGAGGAGCCCTTAGTCTATAAAAGGGACTCCTCACCCTCACAATCCTCAAGCCTCACATCCCCTAAACAAAGGCTCTCTCAAACTCTCTCTTTCTCTGGGGGACTCCCGCTCACCCTTGTAATCCATACATTCATACAGTTAGAGAGAAATACAATCAACATCAGTGTGGACGTAGCCCAAACATTGGGGTGAACCATGATACATCTTGTGTTCTTTACTTTCTTATAGATTCACGGTCGGATTTACGTTGTTCTAAGACCTCCGGTTTTGTGCATCAACACAATACAATCTTAATAGAAACTCCTCGTGCAAAAGCAGAAAGCTTTTACATTCTACATGCATGCCAAAACAAAACCTATCTCTCAGTTAAAGAGATAAGAAGTTTGTGCACTTTATTTTTTCTGATGGGATTTTCTGAAATTAATTGAATAATAGAAAGAAATTAAGGGCACTTGCGGGTTTGCCTTGGGGTTTTGAGGTTAAAATAGCAAGGACAAGACTCATAGTTGCCAGAAGTGCCTGGAGGAACACAACTGCACTTGTGACAACAACTCCCACATGCCCTTTTGCAAAGATGAGGCCTCTTTGATAGCTTGCACCTTCCTTCACATGCCACTCTACAATCTGCATCATAAATACATATTATACACAATTAATTAATGGGATATATGAAATCGTAACTAACAACTTTCATCAATACGATATGAACTCGTAACTAACAACTTTCATCAATACTATATGAACTCAAATTTTCTAAAACTGAATGTCGCTAGACCAATGATCTTGATTATAGTAATGATGGGTTAGTGAGAAAACCAAAGATAAAATCATGTAAGCACGTGATGTACCTATTGTTGGGGGCTGGGGGCTCAGTGATTCATTGACGCCCATCTGAAAATATAGTTAGGTACAAACTTTTCAGTTCATGTGTTACTTACATCATTGAAGAAAATTTGGATACACACTACTTGAAAGTTAAAAAAAACGTATATATATATATATATATATATATATATATATATATGTGTGTGTGTGTGTGTGTGTGTAGGTATATTACCATTTCAAACTGGTGATCAGCTGCTTCAGTGAAATATTGAACAAGCATAAAAGAAACAAGCATGGAAGCCATGAACGTTCTTGATAACAAAGCCATCTTGATTATATATGGAACAAGAGGAAGAAGTATCTTAGTTTGGCTTATATGTTGTGAAATGAGATTGAGATATTAGTGTGTATTTATAGAGAGAGACTCGTATCGATGGTGCATGGAGGGGCGGTAGGGCTGATGCAATGCAAGTGCCTACTTACCTGTCCAAATAATATTGGATCTACTATTTGATTATATGGTACATTTCCTTATCAGAGGGTCTCCCGAAAGTCACACAGTTGCCAGACTGCTTACAATTCATCACCCTCTATCAATAGTAATGCTAGTAAACTAAATTTATAAATTAAATTTTGTAAATTTAACGATATGAAATTTGATGATTAGATTAATATTTAAGTATTGATTAACATACTTATTTTTTACTGATGGTATATCATTTAGTTTGTAAATTTAATCTACAATTTTAGTCTACTTAGCGTTATCCCTGAATTAATGTTTTCTTATTTTGTTTTGCTTTGTTTCTGTTTAACATTAATATCTTTGCTTAACATTTGGATAAAAAATTAATGTCAAAATATATTAGAATAGATCGAGGTGCCCCTACGTCGGTGCAGGACGCTCTTGTCGAGGAGTGGTATTTTAGTGTGCGGTCCAGTGTTTCGGGCACACTGAAAAAACTCTTCTTATGAGAACCTAGTTATTTTGAAATAATTAAGGTTTGATTATGATTTCTTGTTGTCTTCTCGTATTGTCAGGATTTCTTAAAACCAAAAGTTTAAGCCTTATTTAAGTTGTAAACATGTGCGCTACTACGGTCTGGTAGTATTCTTTTTCGCTTAAAAGTGAGAGATTATAGGTTCGAATCTCTTAGATGGCGAATTCGATACCAAATTAGGTTGTCCATTGTGTGGCTTAACCGAACTCCCCCTCTCCTTAGTATAAAAATATCGATATACTCAAAAAAAAAAAAAAAAAGTTTTAAACGGGTGCAATTGGCTATTGCCATTCAAACAACATTAATTTGAAGTGTAGATTTGCATGGACTCCCTCGATGATAACATGATATGTCGACCATGTGGTATATAATCTAATCCTAATAACTGATTAGTTATTACTTCACCGTCTCTTACGACTTAGACTGATCTACACAAACGCTTAACAAGACACTAGTTTATTGAAATTGTTTAATTAATAGGGAAGATTAGGAAGTATGATTAAGTGAACCTAGCTAGCTAATTCTATGCTCAACTTCTTGTTGAGAGAGAGATTTATGATTGCAAATATGAAGAAATTAAGAAAAAAAAATGTCGACAGACGAGTGTTGGCAAGGTGGCCCTGGCTAGCTAGCTAGCTAGCTGTTCTAAAATCAAACTTTGTTTCCCAAACCCACCTCGGTCGGTGCCAAAAGAAAATGAAAGAAAAAACCTTCACTGTACTACTAGCTCTTAACGCAGTCATGCCTTCTAGTTTGGTGCTGCACTTTTGAGGTCGTCTTTCACGATAAGAGTTATGTTAATGATACAATGATATGTGTAAGTTTTTTTTAGGGTTTTTTTCTTAACTTTAATCCTTCAAGAAAATTTAAATTTAAAATAAATCTGGTGTTAGATTACATATTGATTATAATCCTTGATGTGTCCTTAATTCAAAATAATTAATGTGCATTTTATTTAATGTCTTCCATTAAATATTTAAATTTATTAATATACACATTTTAATTTGTTTTTTGACCCAAAAAAGACTTTTTTAATTTATTAATTTTATTTAACATTCTTCAAACTTAAAAGACTCAATTAATATACTTAAATGTTAGTACCGAAATGTATTATTCAAAATAATTAATGTGAATTTTATTTAATGTCTCCCATTAAATATTTAAATTTATTAATATAGAAATTTTAATTTATTTATTGACCAAAAAAGATTTTTTTAATTTATTAATTTTATTTAACATTCTTCAAACTTGAAAGACTCAATTAATGTACCTAAATGTTAGTACTGAAATGTGTGCACCGAAATTCATTATATTCAACTAATGTATGTAAATGTTAGTATTGAAATGTATATACCAAAATATACGCACCGAAATATATTATATTAAATTAATGTACCTAAATGTGTGTACCGAAATGTATTCTATTGAATTAATGTACCTAAATGTTTGTATCGAAATGTAAGTACCGAAATGTGTGTATCTAAATGTATGCACCGAAATCTATTATAATGAATTTAATGTACCTAAATGAAGAAGACATAGTACATCGAAATATATTATATAACAAAAATTAATTTATCTAAATGTTTACAAAAAAAATATATTACGATAAATGACATGAAAATGAAAATTATAATGAAATAAATTATACATTAAAAATTAGGAAGAAAAAGAGAAATAATTAAAAAAATGAAAATATAATTAATAAATGAGGTTATTAATGTATCAAGGGACTAAATGTGTGTACCGAAATGTATTCTATTGAATTAATGTACCTAAATGTTTGTATCGAAATGTAAGTACCGAAATGTGTGTATCTAAATGTATGCACCGAAATCTATTATAATGAATTTAATGTACCTAAATGAAGAAGACATAGTACATCGAAATATATTATATAACAAAAATTAATTTATCTAAATGTTTACAAAAAAAATATATTACGATAAATGACATGAAAATGAAAATTATAATGAAATAAATTATACATTAAAAATTAGGAAGAAAAAGAGAAATAATTAAAAAATGAAAATATAATTAATAAATGAGGTTATTAATGTGTCAAGGGACTAAAATTAGATTTTTTTTATCTTACTCATGGTTTTAATCTAAAAGTCATCTTTGTTAAGGATGAAAATGAAGTTTTCTATTTTTTTAATATAATACTTCATTATTAGAGTTTTTGTTCTCAATTCTACGAGATTTTTTTATGGAAGTCTTTTGTTTGCTTCTCTTCAATGAAAGTTTTATTTTTCTACAATGTATCCTAATTTTTGGCCTGCTTCTTCTGATGATCAATTCAACCAATGATAAAATAGATATACCTTAGTTAAATTTTATCTCTTCAACAAATTGAATAATGAGCATAACCGTCCTATTGTTCCGATCCTACAATGAGGTGTACAATTACCATGAGTTGCTCTCTGTTCGTCTACTTCACACTCAATTTTCTATGTTTGATTGACTTCACTCAGTATCAATTATTCTAAAGGAGTAAGAAGAAGAGGACGTTGCTAGTAACAATTTTTATTAGAAAACAAAAACATCTAAAATCATCGATCTCGTTCTCTTAGAATCAGGGTTTAAGAAAATTATGGTCACTTATTTTTCGATTTAATCAAATAGTGAAGAAGAAAGTACAACAAAATCCTAGGTTCAATATCTTAATAGATCAGGTGTTGAACTTCTACCCATGCATTTGGGTACAAAACTCTTTCATCGCCTAAATTATTGTAATAGTTTCGAATTCTTCCCCCTCCTCTTGACAATAGTAAATTAAAGAAAAAACAACAACAACAACAACAACAAAAAAATAATCACCTACATTAAATTAATATCAAATAATGGGTAACTACAATTTTCTCCGACCATAGGATTAGGAGAACAGGACTTAAACTTGTATATGTTGGAGCAATATTAGAAAATATGAAAAATAATAATATAATTCCAATGATAATAATCATAAAAAATTTTACAACATCAATTATTATGAGATTAATATAAACAACTAGAGAGAAAGTTAGAAAAACTGACAAACTTGGAGATTGAGGCTTGCATAAATGTAACGTCCTAAAGACAGAATTTCGCCCATACTCTTGTGCTTGTAGTTCGGTACTTTGGCGAACTTTATACATTTCGTACTCTCAAGACACAACTCGAAATTTGACAAACGAAGAATGAGAGAAATAGACTGGGGAAACCCTATTTCTCAAGAGTAAAAAATAACTCTAATTTTGTATATTTAATGATAATAGTTTCATGGGTTTATATAGAACCCATTGTGTTGTTTGGTGTAAAGATGCAACTTTGCATCTATGTAACCTACACCACTCATCAAACTACACATCTCAAATTACAAATAATATGATGCAATTCTTTGCATCAGACGCAACGCTTAAAAATAAACGAGATTAATTTTCATTCAATATTTTGAAATTAAATACTACAATATCTAATAAATATTATATATAAATTTTCAACAGTATTCCGTTGCATGCAAAATTTTCTCAACTGTAACACTCGATGAAAGAAAGCATGGTACTTTAAGGATTTCAACTTCATGGATGCTCAATTAGGCTATTACCCATCTTATACTTGGAGATCATTACTTTGGGGGTCGAGAGCTACTCCATCATGGGTCTAGGTGGAGAGTTGGTAATGGCGAGGTAATTCGAAGTTATGGAGATGCATGGGTCCCACACGAGAGGTTCTTTAGAGAGCATTCCCATCCTTACCTGCCACTCCACTCAACGATGAACCCTCTCATCTCGGACAACGACACCTAGGATGTAGCTAAGGTTTATGATAATTTTGATCGGGATGAGGCATAAGCGATCTTGTCCATTCCTTTGCTTGGTGATAGGAATGACTACCGGATCTGGCACTTTAATATCAATGGACGTTATACTGTCAAGAGTGGCTATTGGGTTGCTCTTGAGTACAGAGACCTGATTGATGGTGTGGCAATACAGTCTTGTAACTGGACACCTCCGTATCGGTTTTGGAAACGAATCTGGAAGGTTAAGATCATGCCTAAGGTATCTCATCTATTATGGCGTGTTGCTAATGATAATATCCCGACGCGCCAAAACCTTCTGCGGCGTCGAATTGTTGATGACGGCACCTGCCCTCGCTGCCAAAATGCTTTGGAATCTGCTCTTCATGCACACCGTGACTGCTACTTCTGCACGAGGTTCTGGGAGAAGCTAGGGTTTCCCAGTTCTGTTTGGTGCTCCAGTACGGTGGCGATCACTGATTGGTTGAGAGAAGTTTGGGACTCAATTCCACCTCTAATCTTTCCCTTGTTTGCAGCTGGGATTTGGTGGCTTTGGTTTGACAGAAAGCAAATTGTGTTCGAGGCCAAGGGTGTGGAAT